GTATTCCTCCATGCCTTCTTCGAGTTGCTCGCCGTCGGAGCCAACGAGGTCGCCGTCCGAGGCGTATCCTTCTTCGAGTTCCTCGCCATCGGAGCCACCGAGCTCGCCATCCGAGGCATATTCCTCCAAGCCTTCTTCGCCCTCTTCGCCCTCCTCGTACTCCTCCATGGCTCCTTCCGTCTCTTCCCCCTCGTCCTCCCCGCTGATCTCACCCTCGAGCTCGTCAGGATATACCAGCTCCACATCCTCCATATCCTCCGCAGCGACGGGGAAGTACTCCCCATCCTCGCCCCGCAAATGCACGACGCCCTTCGCGTCCTCTACACCGTCGAAGTACTCCCCGTCCTCCGTCGGAAGAAGGACGGCTCGCGTCGGGCCCTCGAGGTGCGCTGTTGGGTCTACCTCCTCTCCCTCCCCGTCGCTCTCCAGCGCGGCTTCAGCATCAGCCTCAGCCTCGCCCTCAACGACCTCCACAGCCTCCACGCCGTCTTCCTCCGCAGTAGCCTCAACAGCTTCAGCTTCAGCCGCGCTCCCTTCCTCACCCTCCACACCCTCCACACCCTCCTCGCCCTCCTCAAGGCCCTCCTCCTCCGCCCTCGCCCGCGCCTCCTTCGCCGCCTCCGCCTTCAGCAGCGCCCTCCTCTCCAACACCTCCTCCACCCTTACTTTTTCCCGCTCCACCGTCTCCTCCATCCACCCCCTCCGCCCCTGCGCCTCCCGCTCCCACCCCTCCGTCCCGACAACCTGCTCCAGCAGCGCCACCTCGTCGAGCTCCAGCGCCTCGTCGCGTTCGAACGCGTCCTCGAGCTCGAGGATCTGGCGCGCCGTCTCCGCCGTCTCCTGCGCCTCCAAGAGCGCCGCGGTCTCGGGCGAGTCGTCCTCTGTGGGCCCGGTTGTCGCACTCACGTCGGCGGACGCAGTCGTCGTCGATGGTGTCGTCGTTGAAGTAAGAGTATCGATATCACTCGTCAACTCGCGCTCCAAATCCTCCTCGGCCCCCTCCTCGGCCTCAGCCTCCTCAGCCTCGGCCAGCTCCGCCTCCCTTGCTTCAAACTCCTCCTGCAGGGCCGCGAGCGCCTCGTCCGCCTCTGCCTCTGCGAGGTCCGCGTCCTCGGCGGTGGCTGCGTCCAGCGCGGCGCGCTCGGTGGCGTAGTCTTCGACTGCGGCGAGCTCGGCGCGGCGGACTCTGCGGCGTTCGCCGCCTGGGAAAGGGTGTTAGTTGGGGATAACGAGATGGACAAGATGAGAGATGGAGCAGGGGAGAGAATGGGTGTAAATGAGTAAGAAGGTCGTGGAAAACAAGGACGGGGGAAGAAGGCAAGAGAGGCAGGCGTCAAGTCGAGTAGGTAAATTAGCCAAGTAGTCGACGAAATAAATGGCGAACAAAAACGGACGAAGGGGAGGGTATGAAAACAAGGGGCAGAATGCAGGAAACGAAATGTGGAGGGATGATGATAAAACGAGGCGTCATGTAGGAATAAGCCAAGTCGACGGAATAAATCGGCCAGCGTCGCAGCATAGCGAGGAAGTAGACGGGGAAGAGTGAAGGAACGACGACGGGGAATGTAAGAAATGAAGCGGAGGAATGATAATAAAACGAAAAGCGTCAAGCCCGGTATTGAAGGAGAAAGTCGTCGCAGCATAGCAAGTGAAAGAAGGCAAGGAAGAGTGAAGAAATGGCGATAAGAAAAGAAAAGAAAAACCCCGAACCGAACCAAACAAGAAAAAAAAGACACAAAACACTCACCAGTCCTCAACACCCCCACATCCAACCACACCTCAAAAAGCGCCGCCGCCTCCCTCACCCCCAGCGCATCCGGCACCCGCACAGCCCTCACCGCCCGCTCCAACACCAGCCCCTCCCGCATCTCGCGCTCCTTCGCCCTCTCCCTCGCCTTCTCTTTTTTGGCTTTGCGTTTCTGCGCGGCGAGCGTAGCTTTTTCGGCGGGCGTGAGGCGGAGGGGGGCGGAGAGGGTGCCGGAGGAGGAGTCGACGGGGCCGGGGTCGAAGTCGTCTTCTTCTTCCTCTGTGGGTTCTTGCTTCCCGTCCTGCGCAGGTTTGGGTTGCTTGGCGCCGTCCTGTGCGGGTTCGAGGGCGAGCGCCTCGGCCTCCTCCAACTCAGCCTGCTCCGCCAACGCGTCCAACTCCTCCTCCAGCTCCTCCTCCTCGCGCTTCATGACCTTGTCGCGCCACAGGTCGACGGGGCGCAGGGGCGGTTCGGGGGTGGCTGCGGTGGGCTGGAGGGCGGGGGAGTCTTCGTAGGTGGGCGGGTCGTAGGCGCGGTAGCCGGTCCAGGGTTCGGGGTAGTCTGCGGGGGGAAGGGATGTTAGAAATAGACGAAAAGGAGGGGGGGGGGAGACTGGAGGGAAGGGAAGGAAGAAAGGACGCGAGACGCCGATGAAGGCAAGGAAATGTGTGAAGGAGTCGCGGGACGGTGGATAAATGAACGAATGGAGGAAACGGGACAGGCACGGGTACGGGCATGGGTACGGGCGAGATGAAAGTGAAAGAAAAGCAAGATATGAAGGCCATGGTAGGCCGGCCGGGAAGCAAGGAGGAGAAGGAGTGAAGGTATGCAGAGGCGTGAAGGAAAAAAATAAATCAAGGAACGGAAAGGATGCAGACGAAGGCAGGCCGGGTATGTAAGTAAGGGCGAATCACAAACGAAAGCGGGTATAAAGCAGCCGCGGAACGGTAGATGAACGAGTAGAATGGTCGTGATAAACGAACAGACGGGGTGAGATAGAGGACAGTATGTGAAGGTGTTGGGTAGGTCACAAATCGACGAAAGCAGGCAGATGAGCAGAGGGAAGAAGTTGAGAGGAAAAGGAAAAGAAGGAGGTGGGACGCGGCTGGGCTGGTAGGGCGTGTATCATCAAAGAAAGGAAAGATGAGGATGGCGGTAGGTCGAGTATATAAGTAAACGAACGGGATCGACAAACGGGCGCAGGTGTGGAAGGAAGGAAAGAAATGAGGGAATTGGAGGGAGGCAACGAAGAAGAAGAAAAACCCAAAACCCACCTCCCAGATCAAGCTCCACCCCCCTCACCCCATAATCCACAACGACCTCCCCCTCCAAATACGCCGCCAGCTGGCTACTCCGTCTCTCCCGTACGCTGCGCGGCGAGGACGTGAACTCGTCAGAGAGGTTGAGGGCGGCGGCGAACTGGGGAGGGACGGGGAATGTTGGGTCGGAGCGCGAGAGGGCGGTTAGGACGAGGCCGCGGGCCTGGAAAAACAGTCGGCTTCGTCAGTATAGCATATAAAAACACAAGGAGGAGGGTAAGAAGAGAGGACACGCGACTCACCAACCCCCTCCTCCCCCCAATAAACTCGAGCAACAGCCTCGGCATGCCCAGATGATGCGGCCTTATCCCCTTAAACTGCGGGTCCTTGTACATACTCCGCCCCGCAAGCGCCTGCACCTCGTCAATCGCGAGCAAGACGGGGAAACGCGTCTGCGCCGCGAGCTCCTCGAGCAGCGCGTCGAGCAGGAAGGGCGCGAGCGCGTAGTCGATCGTCGTCTCCGCGGGCGCTGCGGGGTCGGGGGTGGATACCGCGAGGTCGATGAGCGCGGTGAGGGGCGTGCCGGGCTTGACGTGTCCTAACCCCGCGCTCTCCCCCGCGGCCTGCGCCGCGCTCGCCTGCGTCGCGCTGCTCGTCGCCGCCCCCGCCCCTGCACCAGCGCCGGGCGTGGCGGAGACGTCAAAGTGCCACTCCTGCGTCGTGGCGAGCACCTCGAGGAAGTCGCGGTTCGCGCGCCCGATGCGGGAGAGCAAATTCCACGCCGCGCGCGGCTGGTGGTAGGTCTGCGTCTGGAGGGAGTACACGGCGGGGGTGGAGCCGTTGACGAGGGCGCGCGCGCGGGGGACGTAGATGACGATCCACTCGCGCTGGTTGGCGGCGGTGCGGAGGGCGGCGGCGTATTCTGCGAGTTGGAGGAGGAGGAAGGACTTGCCGGTGCCGGCGCGGCCGTTGAGGACGATGCGGGCGTTGGGGCGCGTTATGGGGAGCTCGTCGTCTGGGTCGTCTTCTGGGTCGTGGAAGCGGGCGGAGGGGAGGGGGAGCGCGGATTCGTGGAGGAGGCGGACGAGGGAGAGCGTCGTCGCTGTTATTACTGACATTGGCGCACCGAGGATGTGGAACTAGTGTGTAGTGTGTTAGTCTGGTTCAATAGACTGAAGGGCAAGCAACTCACCTCGACGAGCATGCTTTTGGGCACACCATACACCCGCAACGGACTACTTGGGTCCTCGTCCCTGAACCGCACCACAGTCCCCGGCGTCAACCCCCCAGGCCCCGCCATCCCCCCCGCCTCCAGCACAGGCAGGTCCAGCTCCACCCTCCCCGGCGGCCCACTCTCAAATATGGGGTGCGTCAACCCCCCCGCCCCCATCGCGCGAAACGCACCCAAACTCTTCTCCTTCTCCTTCACAATCGGCCGCCCCTGCGCGTCCCGCGGCGGCCCCTTCCCGCCCCCCTCCGCGTCCGCGTTGTCCTTGTTCATCACGGCGAGCTGCATCCGCGCAGACTCGACCGCCCGTTTGTTGCGCTGCGCGCCGCCCATGTTTGACCGCGGCCCTTCGCCCGTGCCGCCGATCTTGACCTTGCTCTTTTTGTAGTGCCGCACGCCGAGGCGCGAGATGGGCGGGGCGCGCCCCCGGCAGAGCAGGTACATACGCGCAGAAGGAAAGGAAGAAATTTATTCGGTGCTGCTGTTGGCATCACCGAACTCTGACCCTTTTCTTATCCCGCGGTATGGTCACTGGTGGTCGCGGGATGTCGTCGGCGCCATAGCTCAGCTGGGAGAGCAGCAGACTGAAGCAATTCAGTGCATCTGAAGGTCCGGTGTTCAATCCACCGTGTTGCCATGATTTTTTGACGTGGACAACTATTTTTCGATTTCCTGTGTCCCTTTGCCTTGAGAACGCAGTTAAAAACGGGACCCCGCCGCAAACGCGAAATGGAAAGAGAAAAAAGCCAACATAATCAATGCGATATGCCCTTGGTAGGAATTGAACCCACATCTTCCTCTCTTACTATTGCACTAATTTCATAGTGAAATAGGATGATCCAACCATGATCCACAAGGGCTTACTGGGCTAGAAACTCTACTGAGGTGAGCGGACTTAGAATCCTCCTAGTCATTGAATTTCATACTGCCTCCCCGGGTCTCTCAGGCTAGCTTCTCCCCTCCTTACTAAAGTCTTTGTTCTTGCTTCGTTCCACCCAAAAATCAACCTTTGCCCAGTACTAAAGTGAGGCACACCGCGAACCCACAGGGAATACAGAAAAATGGAAAGGACAGGTCGTCGTATGTCCTTGGTGGGAATTGAACCCACTTCTTCCTCTCACAATCTCTAACTTCGCTGCAGTGAAAGAGGATGATCCAACCATGATCCACAAGGGCTTATTGGGTGGTCTGAGAACTCTACTGAGGTAGGTGGAGCTAGAATTCTACCTAGTAGTTGCAATTTGCATTGCTGTGTGGAGTGCTGGTAAGCAGCGGTACTGGTCATTTTATCTATCCAAACCCATAAATCAACCTTTGCTCAGTAAAACGGGGGCACACCGAGGCGAACCCACAGAGAATACAGAAAAATGGAAAGGACGTGTTGTCAAATGTCCTTGGTAGGATTTGAACCCACTTCTTCCCCCCATACCATTGATGTGCTGCACAGCAGTGAAAGAGGATGATCAAACCATGATCCACAAGGGCTTATTGGGTGGTCTAAGAAGTCTGCTGAGATGAGTGGACCTAGAATCCTCTCTAGTCGTTGAATTCTATACTGCCTCTTCAGGAGGAGGAGGAGGAGGAGGAGGTAGTATTACTGCGGAGGTCCCGATGAGGAACAAGCAGGCACTGTACCTACACACACGCGTCCTATGTATGCTACAGTCGTCAACGGCTCGGTCGCTGTGGTAGCATAAGGCCATGATAGTCCCTACACATCTCACGACAAAACTTAGAAGACGGGCAAATAATTACGGGTTCCTGAATACAACGGGGGAGTACCTGGGAAGCTCTTGGAAAAGAGCGAGAACCTGGAAGACAAATTTGGCGAACACCTTGACAGCCTTCCTCGACGACACGAGTCGGAGTAGAAAGTCATAGCTCAAAATCTGCGTGTGGAACGTGTGCAGATCCGGGTCGCAGTCTGCAAGGTTCTGCAAGAACCGCTCCCGTATCACCACAAGACGCTTCAGAGTCCTTCAGGCCTCCTTGGAGTCTTTGTTCCACCCAAAAATCAACCTTTGCTCAGCAAAATGGGGCACACCAGCGCGAACCCACAGAGAATACAGAAAAACGGAAAAGACGGATTGCTAATGTCCTTGGTGGGAATCGAACCCACTTCTTCCTCTCACATTCTCCAATTACGCTGCAGTGAAAGAGGATGATCCAACCATGATCCACAAGGGCTTGCTGGGTAGTTTGAGAAGTTCTGAGCTGGGTGGACCTCAAATCGAATCCTACCTACGAGGATGTCCAGGAGCAGCCTGCCTGTGTTCATTGAATTGTCAACTAAAGCATTGAGGCTGGTGGTTTTATTCATTTCTGGGCAGGTTCCAGTATTGTTACTAAAATTTCTCTCATTCACCGTCTCACCTCGGATAATTGAGAAGCAGAAGAAGGAAGTAAAGCCTCTTCCCCAGCGGGTTGCATTTCTTCCATCTAAAGACAACTGCCAGGATAAAAAGGAGACCCAGAACTGCATATGCCCTTGGTAGGAATCGAACCCACTTCTTCCCCTTATCTTTCAACGAGGACATGAGTGAAAGGGGATGATCTGACCACGATCTACAAGGACTTGACTCTGAGGTCTGGGAACTCTACTTAGGTAGGTGGACCTAGAATCCTCCCTAGTAGTTTGTTGTGTGGATGTTTGGAGGCTGCCTGCCTGTGTGCACATTGAATGGTCAACCGAATTCAGGGCTGATTTAACACACAGGTTCCGGGGTTGTTACTCAAATCTTTCTTGTTCACCATCTCACCTGTGCCGCTAGGAAGCAGAAGAAGGAAATTGAAGTGTTTCTGTACCAGGCAGCCGGTCATGCTCATTCAAGTACAGAGCTCACCACTCGCCACCAACTGAATATAAAGAAAAAGAAAAAGCAACCTCAGTACTCATGCCTTTGGTGAGAATCAAGCAGCAGACTGAAGTACTCAGATCATCCGGATAAGACTCAGGATAATATTATGCCCGCTGTTGTCCCATTTCGGAACATTCCGGGTTGTAGCATACAGTACACCGGCCCCTGGAGATTAGGGATCCCCACCGTAACCGTACGCCGCCGTATACGGTACGGTTTTACGGGTAACCCGTACCGTACCGTAAGGCCTCTGCCGCGGTCCGGGACTTTACGGGTCGATTACGGCCTGGATTGAACTCAACAATGAGGGGGGAGGAGGGATGTCTGGGCCTTCCAGTGGGTAGAGGGAGGTAAAGTCAATAATTTTACACCCCAATTGAACTCACCTGAACTTAATGGCCCTTGCTAGACGCCGTTCATTGACCCATATATACGGCCCGTAACCGTATAACCACCCGTAACCGTACCGTACCGTATGGCCTGAAATCGGGCTATTTTACGGCCGTATTTTATACGGCCGTAACCGTATACGGTACGGTGGGGATCCCTACTGGAGATGTACTGTGCTACGCCACTACCCAACCACCCGCAACGAGCTAACCTCTCTCAGCGAGGCCGTAGATTGCGAGCACCTGAATAGCAGCATAGAAGTACACTGACCTTATGCAGGAGATTGAAGAATGAATCACTTCTACCCGCTCCCGCCCTCACCTTTAAACTTTGAACCTATGGTGCACGAGCCCAAGGATGGCCGGCTTTCAGATATAACAGGATGAACGGAGGTAACCCAGCGGGGCTTGCTCCGAGTCCTCTCTTTCCAAGACAAACCCTACGTCATCCACCACACCATGAGCGGTCCACCAATTGTTCAACAGTTCACCAGTGAAGCGCGAAAACAAGTCGAACTGTTCATTTTCAGTTCCAAAGGCTCAGGTACGATATAGGGCCTAAGAATAGATAGATATTATGATATTCAGTGCACGAAGGCAGACAATATGTAGATGTGCAATTGAACCCACTTCTTCCTCTTATCTTATGGGACATGCGACAGTGAAAGAGGATGATCCAACCATGATCTAAGTACAAGGACTTGATCTGGGGTCTGAGAGCTTTACTTAGGTAGGGGGACCTGGTAGTTTGCTGTGTGGAGTTTCGGAAGCAGTGTGTTTGTTGAATCGTCAACTGAAACATTGGTGGCTGGTTGTTTTATATTGATTAAACATGCAGTTCTGAGGTTGTTATTCAAAACTTTCTTGTCCACAATCTCACTTAGGGTCTCTCTTAGAAGAGGGAAACCAAGCTATTGAAGTTGTGCCAGCTGGTTGTATTTATTCCACCTACGTAAAGACAGCTATACCATAACATTTGCTCATTTATGTAACCACACCCAAGACCAACAGAATATGGGCAAGAGAAAGAGCATCTGAAGGTCCGGTGTTCAATTTATTGTGCTGCTATAAGATCCATTCTTTGACTGTAAGAATAAGTACATCTACCAATGACTTGGAACATTGCGGTTGTGAATCTTGTGATAGTGTGTCAGCAGAACCCGTATGCATACTTACTTCTCTTCAAACAGAGAGAACATGGCATGCTTGTGTCATACACAAACTTTGTGAAACACAGCGTGAGGTTCTTGTTGCCAGCAGGAAATTGTATGCAGTGGCAGTAGAAGCGACTCGGAGCCGCCGGAGGTTGGGTTGGGACATGAATACAACACACAGGACTGCATTCTTGCCTTCGAAGCAATGTTTGAGAGACTGTGTCTTGACAAGCTGAGAAATCTGACCCTGCAGGTCAGCCTCGCAGGCAGACACCACCGAGCCCATAATACTCTGAATTCCGTCTTGAGTAAGAAGCAACAGCAGAGAGTAGGGATCCCCACAGTACCGTATATGTTTACGGCTGTATAAAATACAGCCGTAAAATTGACTGATTTTGGGCCATACAGTACATTTGCGGGTGGGTATACGGTTACAGGCCATATATACGGGTTAATGAATGGCGTCTAGCATGGGTGGATGAGTTCAGGTGAGTTCAAATAGGGTGTAAAATGACTGACTTTACCTCCTTCTACCCACTGGAAGGCCCAGACATCCCTCCTTCCCCCTCGTCGTTGAGTTCAATCCAGGCTGTAATTGACCTGTAAAGGCTCGGACCGTGCCAGAGGCATTATGGTATGGTACAGGTTGACCGTAAAACTGTACTGTATATGGCAGCGTACAGTTACGGTAGGGATCCCTGGCAGAGAGAAATGGACAGTAATGCTAGAACCCAGCATACAGTATCTAACCCAAAGCGAAACACAACATAGAAGTGAAACACTGCCTTATTCTGCACCTTGGAGGTCTTGGATTTTTAGGAGGTCATTTTGCTCCTCTATAAACTCAGGTCCACAAAAGGATCTAGGTAAAACAGGCATATTCCGCTGGTGCGATGCAATTTAGTTTTAGTTTAACATCTCATTTGGCCGGTTTTCCGAGTTAATACTCGTCATCACACAAAGTGACCGGAAATTCGCTTATTTCAGCCTCCTTTTGGATTTTTTTTTGATTCCAAGTGCATGAGCGTGTTGAATATGATTCTTTGACCCCCCTCAGCCATTTAGACACACCAAAAAGAACCAGTATGTGTGCAAAAATTGAAGTGATTTGATGTGAAACAATTCTGACAACAACACTCAAAAATATGCCCTAGAAATGCCCATGTCTGGGAGAACAAGGCCGGTGTTAGCCAGGATATCACACACAGGCTCAAATGCATGCCCTGGATGCAAAAAGTCCCTCAGTAAAGTCTAGATTGCTGCGTTATTGGTGATTTGTTCCGAAGACAAGAGTTGCCAAACAGTGGCCGGTTCAACAGCTCTACCAAAACAGGATTTTTGCTACCTGTGGCTCAATTTCTGTATGGAATCAGGTTGGGGCTGGCATGAGAGATACCTCATAGCCATTGATACTTTTTTTAGGACCCCTCACACCTTGAAATACCTCAGGAAATCAGAA